AAAATTCTAAATCCCTATGTGGGGGATGTACCAGAAGAAGTGGACCCATATATTCCATCTTCACACCAGTCTTCGGATTAATAAAAATATTGTGATGTGCGTAATTTGAAGACAATCGTACACTTACATCACATTTTATAACAGTTATAATTATTCAAAATTTTGACCCTTTTTGGGGGAGGTACTTGATGGAGACCTGACCTAGCACCTGACCTAGCACTGACACAAATATTAGAATTTGCAAACATGGAGTAAAATCGGATTATTCTTTCTCTTTTTGTGCAGTAAAATATTTTCTTTGAAAAATTCGACTTTTTGTGGGGGAGATACAAGAAGGAGTAGACCGATTTTGTCCTTCTCAGAACTCGATATAAGTTCGATAATAATGTTACAATATACCAAGTTTGAATCAAATAGGATACTCCCTTCGAGAGTTATCATGCGCACCAGCCAGCTGAAAGACAGACAGACGGACGGACATCACTAAATCGACTCCAAATGTCCTGAAACGGATTTGGCCCAAAGGGACCTAGGGTCTAAAACCGTTATTTCAAAGAGGCACGTTTTGGCCGTATCAAATTATATATATACCCTCTCTTGCCATATGGCTGAGGATATAAAAATGTTACCCTTTGACTACGTCGCTGCCTTTCACCTTAACCACTCTAAACATTCATGTGCTTTACCTTTTGCGAAACCCAATAAATTACAACACGTTTATCTGTCTACATGCATCTCTACAACCATAAACCGCCAGAATATAATTCAAATGTGTTCTTCCTTCTTTGGCGAGGGGAGCACGGAAGGAAACGCACCGCCGGCAAATGAGCGATGAACGAGCAAATGAACAACAATAAATGTGTGTTACAAATGACGTCTTTGCCATAATTTAGCTACGCTTTTTTCTACTAATTTATGAAGCGACCCATACTCGTTTGTCTTTTTTTGAATAGATGTTAGGGTCTGCGAACACCTTTATTGACAACGCAAAGTGGTATGAAATGAAATACGTTTGAAAATATGCAATAGCTATTATTGCGAGTCGAAGAAGTTTGGAGAGATTGTAGATATCTTTCACTGCCAGTAGAAGTGTTATCTGGAATATGAGGAAGTCGAGAAAAGGTGCGATTTTGACTTCAATGGACCAGTACGAATGCTATTGATACCATTTTATTGGATCTCTTTTATCTTGGACCTCCCTCCCCCCTTACCCTTCTCCTCGTGTTTTTGACATACCGCCCCATTTTCTAGATTCAGGTACTATATAGGTAGATAAAAACAATTTTTAATACTGAAATTTTTAAAGCCTCTTCAAACCTTTTGTAGCCTCACTGAATCGCTTCACACTGTTCTCTCGCCAAATTGTAGGTACAGTTGGTACAGCAGCAGCGCTAGTCGCTGATGTCTTCTCGTTACGCTAATGACATAATTTATTGTGACTGTCAAAATTTATGTCTTTTGTCGCCTATACGGCAACTAAACGATAACTCCCTACCTCTACCTCATTCAACAGAGATAAATGGCACGCAATGAACATCATATCTGTAGGGTAGAACCCGAAGAGATGAAAAATGATTCGCTGGAGCATGGCGAAGTTCAACATCATTATATGTTTAATGGGAGCCAAACGAAAGATCCATATCGTCGACATTTTGCGACAATGATAAATTTACATTTAGCAGCAGAGTAATGTGATGTGAGGTTTTTATTTTTTGGCGAAGTGACCATAACAAGTGTTAAGATAAAATGAATATTAAATGAAATTTGTTATCATTTTACGATCGAAAGAAAAAATATTCAATGAATGAATACATTTACTTTATAAACATGAATTTTTATTATAAAAAATTGGAAATGTCCGCTACTTCCCAGGCGGAAGAAGGAATTAAAGTAAGGTGCATTTCATTGTTCAAAGGTCAACTTTGTCCGAGATATCTTATAGTCCCCACATAACTATAGCTCCCGATATTCGGTATTTTTTATATTTTTAGCTGCATTTTTCAATGAATTTGTCTGGAATCCATTGTGTGAAGTTCTTAACCTAAACTTATGAATCTGACAAAAAAAAATTGTGTAAATAGCTCTACTATTGTCTATAGCCCCTATATAACGGTACCCCCAAATATCCGTTATTTTAGTGTTCGTAACCCTATTTTTCAATGAAATTGTCTGAAATTCTGCATATGAAGTTCATTGCGGGTGCTTTAACCCCTAAAGAAGAATGGTATCTTCCACATAACGGAACCTTCCGATATTCAGTATTACATCGGTACATTTCAGACACATTGTTTAATGCAGTGTTCTGGAATTCGATACTTGAAGTTCTTAATAGGTACTTGTGCATGTAGCCTCCATATCATTAACCTCCGATATTCGGTATTTTCATGATTTTGCAACAACTTTCCATATTAAAACTTAGAAAAATATATAGAAAATAGAAAAAAAATAAATTTTCCCCTAATGATGAGGTGGTTCGTCGGCGTCGAACTTAACTGCTTTGACTTCCCGTAAAATTTGTGACTTCCACATCAAATTTCGTTATTCAAGCTCTATTTCTTCACTTAATACGCAATTAAGAACCACTTAGTACTTTTCGAAAAGATATAGTGCGCATTTCCAAAACCACCTTCATATCTTGACCAAAGACATGATTTCATCTGTATTCCTTTACCCAATACCAAATGTAGCACTATTTAGTACTTTTTGTACAAATATAAAACACGTTTTCAAAACCAACCCCATATCTCAATTCCAGATACCAATAGAGACTTCAATATCAAATTTGAGGATTCCTCCATAAAACACCAAATTGAGTGCCATTTAATATTTTTCGTACAAATAAAAGACGCATTTCCAAACCTCCGCCAAATCTGAAATACAAATACCACCAGTAATCAAGTTTTTAGCTCTATCCATAATACTAAACGGTACCATTTAAGAAGTTTAGTACCATTCTAGAATTTTTCGTAACCTCAAGGTTCGATTTTCTAAAAACCCTTTGGTACATTTATTCCGCACTCCCTCAAAGGCTCTCGTTCTAAATTTCAGAATTCTAGCTCATTTTGTTTGTCCAATACAAAGTATTAAATTTTTAGTACTTTTCGTACCCTTTTAGTACGAATTTTAAAAAAGCTCAGCCCTATCACAAGCCTACGCACCAAGAGTGACCCTCTTGCAAAATTTCAAGATTCTAGCTTCAGCCATTTCGTCTGGGCGTTGATACTGAATCAGACAGACTAAAATATGTCGAATTACATTTGAGAAGCTTTCCAATTTTTATACCCTCCACCATAGTATGGAGGGTATATTGTAGACCCCACAAAGTATATTTATATTTTTGATCAGAATAAAATTCTATGTCGATTTAGCGATGTCCGTCTGTGGAAATCACTCTAGCCTACGAACGAATTGAAGTAGATTGATAAAATTTTACTCAAATGTATGTTATGCCCGCAATTCTTTCAAATTTGGTATTTGATGTTCGTAATGGATTATACAGCCTAACACAGAAAATTGTCTGTGCAGGTCCACATTTTTTATAGCCCCCCATATAACGGTACCTCCCGACATTCTGTATTGTAATGATTCTTAACCAAAATTGTTTCAAATTTGGTATTTGAAGTCCTTAATGGATACTAAGAGAGAAAATCGTCTGTGCATGTCCACCTCTTCGCATAGCCCTCATATGACAATACCTCCCGATATTCGGCATTTTGATGATTTTAGCTATATTATTCACCGATTTTTTTAAGTTTCGCTTTTGAATATTGTAATGGCTTATGATAAAAGTTACATATGCAGAACCATGTCGTCGTATAGACTCTAATATAACAGCTACATTCGGTATTTTTAAGATTTAAACAGCATTTTTAACGGATTTTAATGTTTTTGAGAATTGCCAAATTTATTCCAAATGGTGGAGGGTATTCAAAGTTCGGCTGGGCCAAACTTACAGATTTTTTACTCGTTTTCCATAATTTTTCTATTATACCCTGACTTTGGAAAAGTAGTAATATATTGGCCGCCGATTTTGGTACCCGAATATTTAATCAAAAAGTATCGGTGCAAGACCCAAGATGGAGCCAATTATAGACGTCATTTTATAGCTTAAAAATATCTGTCCAACAAATGATTAAATAACCACGATAGAGGGGCCTAGTAAAATACTTGGTTTTTACGAGGATAAAAAACTCCAAAGGGCCTATTACGGAAGATCATAAAATATATGCATAGTCATAGATGACTCTCTTATCATTCCAATATGGGAACATCTGCATCAATGTCTTTCCGAATCCAATTAAATTTATCATGAACCTTAGGCTGAAGTTTGGAATTTTCATCTCTGGCTTATATCCAACATTGGGTAGGAAAACCAAATTTTGATTCTCATCTGTCTCTCCAAATAAATAATATTTGGAAGAGTTTTTTCTAGTAGCTTGAATTATTTCTGAAAACTGTTTGAGATTTATTTTAAGACCTTTTTCGAATTTGAAGCCAATGACTACCTGAATATAACATTGGAGACATCGCTTCGATAAAATGGGATTTTTGTGCCCTAAAGAATTTGTTAAAATAATTTTTGTGCATATAAGGCCGGTCCACAATATGGGTTCCGAATATATGGAATATATTCGGGTTAAATAAGTCCTACCCTTCAAATTTTCGTATAGGATAAAATTTCCATCCATTACTTTAACATGTTTTCATATGTCAAAAAAAAACACTCTTTAATTTCCCCCAAAAAACGTAAATGAAAAAATACCATTTTCTCTTTGTGACTACAACCAATGACAGCCATTCAGGCATTCCACAACAATGCGCCCAGCTTTCTGAGGTCTTTAATTTTAATTAAAAAAAAATGTAACAACAAAAAAAAACATCGAAACGATTTATCCATTATTATCAGCAATTAAATGAAATTTATAGCATTTTGTTGCATCCCCCCTCCGACACGTTTGGTATTTTTTTACTCATCATCCCTGTTTTTATTGTTATTGCAGTTAATTGACAACAATAATGGTCAGCTCAACATTGACAACAATTGCTGCTGCTCCGGGACAAACAACAAGTGGCATTAACAATTTGCATTCAACAGCCTCCAGTGCATCGCCCGAACGACGTTATCACAATACAAACGCTTCAGCCAACAACGCCAACACCTCCAACGTCAATGAAGCCACAAATCGTTCCCTATATTACCAAGCGAGTAGAACATCATCATCGTCCGGCCAGAACACCTCATCGACAACATCGCCCAACAACAAAGCCAACTTGCGCTCATATTACTACAACAACAGTAATCGCCTAAATGCCAACAATGATGGCCACAACAAATTGAATGGCAACGATAGCGACAACACAGCGGACTATCAGCAACAGAACCACAGCCTAACATTCTATCAGAGAGAACAGCAGCAGCAGCAGCAGCTGCATCATCATCAGAAATATTTGCTGAACGGCAAGGTGAATGGTGAAACCACAAAAACCGAAACAGCCAACAACGCCGCCACAACGTTAGACTTGTCACAGGCTTTGGTAAGCAGCTCACCGCCAATAAGCGATCAAATTTCACTGCTCTTCCCCAAGTGTAGACCAAAGTCAGCGGTTAGTCAACACCAGCAGCAGCAGCAGCAGCTACACCACAACCAATCGTCGCTTTCCCCCAGCTCATCATTGGACCAGCCAACAATAGATGCTAATTCAAACTGCGACAAAGAGGATCAATTGTCGAACTCAAAAACTCAAAAGCATCATTCCAGCAAAGTTCCTCTAGGGCAGACCAACAACAAAAGTGAATCCGGAGAAAATAGAGACAAAACTAGTCATTATTATCGCAGTGTGAATATCATAACTCAATCGCCACCACCACACAGTGCTTCGTCATTATCGTCCGAATCATTGTCATCGGTTACACCCAGAATCTCCACAAATCCATTTCTCTGCAATCAGCTGCTGGCGCCCGAAGAGGCCGAAGAGCCACAAAACACACATCGCAATCTCATTGAAGACGACGACGACCACAAGTTGCGCCAGCCAAACGATCACAACGAAGACGACGAGCTGCCCGTGCCCATTACCGCACCCTTCTACTATCACACCAGCACCACCAGTCCCAAGACCAATACTCCACGAGAGAAGACTCAACGCCAGCATAACGACACAGAGACGCGCGAAATGCCGCGGAAACGCTCACAATATGAGCGGTATCATCACATGAATGGCCAAAACTACCCGAATGCTGAGAAATCTTACAGTCATGGTGGGCCACCTGAGGCCAACCCAAATCCCCAGCAGCAGCAGAATGGTCATCCGAATCAAAATCCCTTTGTAAAAGACAATTATTGGGAGAATGCGAGGCAAACGTCGCAGCAACAGAGCAATAACACTCCCACAAGTACGGTATTGAATTCACCCGAATATGCTGGGGGTAATGGAGGCAATGGCCTGCCAGAAATGGAACATGTTCGTTCTCAACATCGCCGTTCCATGTATCAGCAGGACCAGACGGGCCAACAGACACCCCAACAGCAGCAGCAGCAGCAGCAACATCCAACTCAAAACTCATCCACAACCTACATGAACACACGACAGCACATACGTCTGGGACGCAGCCCCAACAGCGAGTCAACCTCCTATTCGGAGGCAACACAAAAACGCAACAGCTACAATTCAGCCCAAACACAGAATGTAGCCCCACAACATCAAAATGTTGCCACAAAATCCTATGGAAATTCTGAAACCACGGCTGGCATGAAAACCCTAGCCCAACATTATTTGTATGGCAGCAAGACATCACTGCAGGATCATGGTTCGGCACACAGCGATTGGTCGGAGAAACGGGACGCGCATGAACGTTCCACCACCCTAATGCGTGAGCGTGAACGGGAGCAGCGTGAACAACGCAGCAAAACTGAACGTTATATAAATGCAGCGCTCGTCCGAGAATCGGTGGGTGAACCCAATTCACCGGCAACATTGGAATTGCGTGAACGTCGGGAACGTGATCGTCAATCGTATCCACAGTCCCAGTCACAAATGCAAAAATATCAGCAGCAGCAACAACAACAAAAATCTTCACATCAATATAATCATCAGCAGAGGTCGCAGCAACAACAGCAGCAGATTCAACAGCAGCAGCAACAACATAATCAATCACATCGTCAATTGGCCGAGGATCGTTTGTCCAGCACCAATGAAGTGATATTCGATGATATAACCGAAAGTTGGCAGAGTGAGTAGAGATTCTAATTTTTTTATTTGCAAAATTCTAGAGATGAAGCAATTCTAAATGCGGAAAATCTGATCGATTTTTAATTTTTTTCTACCTTTATTCCGGGATCCAAAAATATTAGTCTAGTAAATAAATTGTCGATCTACATATTTGCTACTTTTCGGTTCTAAAAAAAAACTGATATCTAAATGGGTATCATTTGGAACCTTATGGAAATTTTTAATTTAAACTGCTTCCAGATCAATGAAAAAATTTTGTATTTGTGTACCGGAACTTGCCAAAATTGAAGCAAATGTGCTGATATCTCTTGTGGTTCCAAAGTTTTTAGTGATAATAAGTAAAAAAAAAACAACTAAATTCGGTCGAAACGACTTTAAATAGTCTCCACAATTTGGAAAGAACTTGAAACTATCGCTTAAATGAAAACCGTAATATGGGAGGTACCGTTATATGTGGGCTATACGAAGACATGGACCTGAATAGATAATTTTCTGTCGTAAGTTGTAGTACCATTACGAACTTTAAATACGAAAAATAAAGAATAATGTAGCTCAAATCATTAAAATACCGACCAACTTTTTCCTTTTTTTATAAGAAGTAGGTATTTTTACCCTGATTTCGGAACACCACTTTGGAACTGCCGGAGTCCAATTTTATAGAGAATACGGGATAAAACGTTTTTATTAACGTACAGCGTCATATTCGGTCATAGTCATATTCATATTTGTTCCCGGATTTTCGGGTCAAAATTCCGTCCCTCAAACAAAGTATTTTCCCTTAGCCTTGGTTAGATAAAGAAAAGAGAACAGTTTTAGTAATTGTAGTGATGAATGATCCACGAAGAGATTATCGTGTCGTCTTTATCCACTTTAGTCTTCTGGCTAAATGAAGAATAACTGCTGGCTCGGTTCGGAAGAATGAAGACAATTCGTGCAGAATTTGCTTACCCATACGCAACTGACTGGCACCAATAAGAATTGGACACTAGCAGACTAACTGCTCCACCGTCTCAGTTTCTTCCTCGTTTTGACAAAAGTCTACAGTATTTAATATCATCGCCTTCCTACTTAGAAGCCCTTATATTACAGTGACTTGTGATATATCCCACCTCAAGTTTAGGGTCTGATTATGGCATGGAAATGAACAACCTTGATCTCCTTTCAGAGATCACCGGTCATATTTTCCTGGAAACATTATAACACATTCAATACAGCCAATTTTGTTGAAACTCGGAAAAATGACATAAGAATGTTTTCACCGAGCTCTCAATCACTAGATCAACTGACTCGGATCCATGTCTTGCCAATTCGTCTGTGGGTTCATTGCCAGAGATACTGCAATGACGGGGAACACAACAAAGCTTAAAGAACGACTTAATTTTTCCAGAGCATTCCTGCACTCCAGAACTGCCATAGATTTAATGGTAAATGAATTTAGTGCTTTCAGGGCCGCTTGACTATCGACGTATATAGTCACCGGACCGTTTAGTTCATTGTTCCTATTTACAGCAATTCCATGACTTTTTGACAGCAAAGATCTCTGCCTGGAATGCGCTACAGTTGTTGTTTATTTTGAAGGAGTTGTAAAAAGTAAAGATGACTTTTATAGGGATTTATCTAGAGAGTGTCAGCAAACTAGGAGCTGACCAGTCAGCTCCTATAGAGTTTTCCTATAGAGTTTTTGTAAGATTAGAGTGAGATTAAGCCCCTCGATAATCCTCTATCAGTTTAGTCGTTGTTCAAGTACAGTACCGAGATACTTCATCCAGCAAGTGAGTCGAAAACTCTGGGAGTTTCCACTTCCTCGCGAAAATAGCGAAATCCGGTTTAGAGGGTTCATGCAAATTCCATTACCACGTACCCATATTAATAGTTTGCCAAGAGCTCTTTGCATTAGACCTGAGACCACAGACCGGTTTGTTCCAGGTCCTTTAATATATAATTTATCACCAAAAGCCAGAGTAGTGGTGATAAAGCCCCTCCTTGTGGAGTACCCACAGTAATCGATAGCCTGACGGAGCGCTCCCCGATGCGTAAATTTATGATTCTACTACTAAGCATAACATCTATGCACTCGGTAAAGAGAAGTGATATACAGAGTTTTTGAGAGAACCGTGAAATTCCTTAAGTGTGTCATTGTCCCCTCAATGTCAGATAAGGCTGCCAAAGTGAAACCACATCCATTGAAGTTTTCCTCTATGTAACCCACAACGTAGTGCTGCGCTGCTTTAACAGATTTGCATCTCAAGAAAGCGTGTTGAGCAGTTCTTATCGAGCTTTTAGGTAAAAAGATATCTGATCTGCAATAGACGCAAGCAAGATCACCTCCAGAATCGACACTGTTACCGTCGATGCATGCTGTAACATGGCCGGAATAACACCACCTGGTCCTGGGGATTTGATTGGTTTCAAAGTGTCAATAGCCCACATGGTTTTGGGAAGAGTTACAGCCCTGACAATCAGGTTCCCATCCTCAGCCGCACAGTGCCGATTACGTCGATTTATCTGTCGACCACTTCTCGCATCTGTGAAATTCGGAAAGTGAGTGCTGGCTAACATATTGAAAGTCTCTAGACCAGTTAATCAACGTACCATCATCCCGCTTTATGCTTTCAATGGATTTAAAATCCTTTGAAAGGACTTTACGGAATTTGGAAGCTTTATTTAAATTTTCCATAAACTCAGTGAAGCAGACCCATGATTTCCGTTTGGCCTTCTTGACGTCATTGCTGTACTTGTTGAAGGCAACCTTATATGCCTCCATCTACTTATTTTCCTAAGACTAGCTAAGTGTTTCGACCACCAAACTGCTTGGAATTTCTTGCCAAGGAAGGTAAGCGAACATGCTTTCTCATAGCAATCAAGCTAGACTCTTGTTTGGAAATTATCAGAGCCATCTACATTCGAAGCTGAACATACTCTGCGAATTTATTGCATCAAGCCTTGCTTGGACTCCTATTAGGTTGTTTTATGAAATCTCTCCACAGAGATTTGGGATTTCATCCACCGTTGGTTCGAGAAGAAACATTCAGAGGAGACTTTGGAAAGCTTCAGTATTTACTATATACACAGTGAGATGAAAAAACTGCAACCAACTTCAGACTGGTGTCATTTCTAAGCCACTCGTCCGACAGCTGTTTACAAACGTACAAAAGCATTTTGGTGAGAATTTTCAGAAAAAAAGTTATTCGTGATGGAATTCAAGCTTTCTTTACATTTTGATGGAAAACCACAAGTGGCTATCGTTAGGGCACTCCAGCATTTAAATGTGAATAAATCTTTTGTGTCTCGTACCTTGGCTCGTTACCGTGATACTGGTAGCGTAGCCCGACGACAAGGAAGTGGACGGAAGAACACAGCAACATCAGAAGAAATGGTTCGGAAAGTAAATAAGCGACTTGATCGAAACCCGCGTCGCAGCGACTTGATCGACCGAAAAATGGCTCGTGAGCTGAACATATCGCAATATTCCATTCGGCAAATATTTAAAAATGAGCTCGGGGTAAAGTCATTGTAATTCCAAAAAGTGCAAGGACATACACCGCAACTGAAAGAAAATAGACTCAAATGAGCTAAAGAGCTGTATCGCCGCGTTGGCCGAAAGTGATGAACTGCCGAATTTGGTTTTCTCTGATGAGAAAACATTCGTTGTCCAGCAGTTTGTAAACAAACAAAATTATCGTGTTTAGTTGCCAAAGAGGTCCGCTGAAAATGTGCACCTCCAGTTGGCCACCAGAACTCATGCGCCGGCCATGGTGATGGTGTGGGCCGCCATAACAGCCGATGATCGCTCTCCGCTCCTTTTAATCGACCGTCAGAATAAATGCCGAATATTATCGCCAAAATATACTGGAGGGTGTATAGCTTCGGCACGCAAGCTTTTTGGCCGCAGACCTTGGACATTTCAACAGGGCTCAGTACGCGCCAACCAAGAATGGTTACATAATGAGGTTCCTCACTTAATTTCCAGCACATAATGACCACCAAATCTCCGGATACCAATCCGTTGGACTATTGTGTCTGGAGTATTTGGGAAAGCAAGGTTGGCACTAAAAAAAACCAAAGTGTCTATCACCTCAAGCAAGCGCTTCGCCGGAATGAGCCAAAATACCGCAGAGCAACATTCGGACAGCGTGTGACCGTTTCATTGGCCGCTTGACGGCCATAATTCGTGCCAAAGGTGATCAATTTGACCAAACTAAACTTGTTCTAAAATTTGATGCTATTTACGACATTTTTGCTTTCATTCAATAAAATTTAAAGAAATGTTAAAATTATGGCGTTGGATTTTTTTGTAGTTTTTTTATCTCACCATGTATAAGTCCACGTTTTACTATAAGCTCATATAACGGTAGCAGCAGATATTCGTTTGAATACATTTACTTTTTTTAAAAGGTTTTTTTTATCAATTGATGGAGATTACTGAAAGTTCGACCCATCTGAACTTAATTGTTTTTCTTTTCTCTGTTTATCTTTACTGATTTCTGATTTATACGTCAGACTTGAAGTGTAGGTATATTCTGGGACCTGTAGTTAAATTTTATGGCGAAAAATTTTCTAAAATATTTTTATCTGATTCTCACATCTGATCTCTGATCATTATGGAGTTCTTGTAATACAAAAACATTTCCCGGATCTTTGCTAGTAATATTATGGAAGGTACTAGGCATAGATTCCCAGGAATTTTTACTCGAATATTTTCAAAAATGTAAAAATGGACGTAACTTGCCTCTGATACACGTGTCTTATATTTTCCTCATAACGTCGTTTTCGATATTTTATTTATATCCAGAATTTTTCCGCCATGCATGTATATGTATGCCTTGCCGATAAGAACATCAATTGTCTATTGTATCACTGTCAAGCTTTCTCTCTCTATCTCTCTTTGTCTTTGTTCGCCAGTTAATTCACAGCATGTGTTGTCAATTTAAAAACTGATGACGTACAACAGAAGCGATTATCTAAGCCAAACACCTTGAATCTGCGGGATACAATTTTGGC